CAGAGGGCCCATTAGCCCCCCCGCCCCCCACCCCAGCGTGTGCACCACGGAGCCCAAAGGGCCAGGAACCGCGTTGCATGCGCCGAGGCGGGGGGGGGGACCAGTCGGACCTGGCAAGGCGGCCGAGCGGCCAGGGGGCACGGAGCCTGCGGCAGGCCCGTGCTCACGTGCACGGTGCCTGCCATGTCGCGGAACACCACGCACAGCAGGTCCAGCGACCACAGGGCGAGGCCGAACCCCAGGTGGCCCAGCGAGCCCAGGTGGCCACTGATGAAGAGGGCCGTGCCAACCCTCACGTGAATCAGCTCGATCATGCTCGAGCTGCATGCAGCAAAACTGGCTGGGTGCAGGCCAGCACTTAAGGTGCCCAAGGGCCAGCCACGCTGCAATCCCAAGGGACCTGGCCGGCCTGCACTTGCCTGGCGACATATGAACCCGCCCAAGGCAGGATTTGAACGCCGAACCTGAATCGGCCTCACAGTCAGCCAAAAAGTCCGTCATCGCTGCCATCATCATCAGAGCCTGAATCGGGTCTAGGTTGACCCAGCTCCTGCACTTCGTCATAAGAAAGCCCATACCCCCGTAAGATTCTGGGCACGTCGAGGTACTTTGTCTCACCTGCGGGAGCAGGTGCTGTAGCCGCTGGTCTCTCAACAGCCGTGTCCACCAACGGATCGGTCCACTGTTTGATCTTACACATAGTCCTCCTCGTTTCCGCTGATGGCCGAGACGGGCCGTCCAACTTCACGTGCTTCTTTGAGCTCTGCGGGTGCCTGAGATTCTCGAAATGTCGTGTGTTCTCGACTCCCCGTCCTGACATCGTGCGTCCAGGGCACGTCACGTCCAGACTTCTGTGCGACTCTAAATTGAAATATCTGCAGCACGTCGTGCAGAACACTAGGCAGTAGTCCAGCCCCACTGCCTGTGTATTCGTACAGGGCGTGCTTGCCCACAAACCAAGGCTCGGTTGAAAGTTCTTCCATACGCAACGCCTGCTCGATTCTTTCTTCGTCATCATCTGCCACTGGAAACCAGTAACCCAGAAACTGTTCATCTTGAGAGTAGAACCAAATTTCAAATCTCGCCAGATATTCCAGCAAGGTGCGATGACATCTGCGGCAACCGTTCACAAACTTGACCAGTTGCTCTGGAGGCAGTATCTGCTTTGCACCATGCTTGGCCCAGGAGTCCGCCTCCCCGTTGCCGTCCTTTTGAAAATGCGAGATGTTCCCCTCGCGAACGCCTTTCATTGTTGCGTGAGCTTTGACGTGCATGAAACATTGATCGCTGAAATCTTCCCTCAGCCTAGTCAGCTTCCAGATATGCGCCCGTGCGCACTTGGATCCCGCAGCCCAAGATAGGTTGAAACAGCACGATAGTGAGCTCTTGCAGTCTGAGAGAAGCGTCCACGTACCTAACACCAGTCGACTAGCTTGATAAATTGCGTAGTCTTCACCATTTTCCGCCACCTGTAGCGGCCCGATCTGCTTCGGTACTGTACCATAGAAACGCCCGACTCGGCGACGCTCACTGTCGAAGGCGATCACAGCCCAGCCTGCAACCCTGAGCTCTGGAATGTTGGCGTGGAACCCGCTGCCGTCGACGAACGCGAACCCGTTTGCTACTGTCACCACACCCGTGTTGTCGACGTCGATGAAATCGTGAGTTGATGAACGCGGCAGGTTGGCAAAGGCCTGCCCAGGGTTCTGCGGGATGCCTCTCGCAAACTTCTCCTGCATCGCAGGACTCCCTCTGCTGATTTCCCCTGCCGCTTTACGTATGATATCGGGAATCAGGATCTGCCTTTGGCCTGCGTAGGCGTCGCAGCGGAAAAATCTGCGGGGTAAAGTTCCTGGCGCTATGCCACAGCGCTTGCATGCATGACTCTGGTCTGGGAAAGCTCGAGCCACTCTGGCTTGGCACCAGTGACCTCCCGAGCAGAGGCCCCTAAGAGATCTCCTCTCATGTGGGGAAAGTTTCTTTGACTTCATTGCCGTCTGAAGTGGCCCCCGCGATATTTCTCTTAGCCTCGGTTCCTCAGCTGCACCTCGTGGTCCTCTCAGGACGTCTCGGCTTATGTGCCTCTGCATTCCCTTTTTGGCCATGCCTGCGACGAGCTCTGCCGGAGAATGATAAATGTCCCAGACTATGCCCTCATCATCTCTTACAGTAGGTGCGTCCTCCAGCGCCCAGCCAATTCTGTGGGGCGGAGATGGGGTTCTTGACTTTGTTCCAAGCGTGGCGCTCCTTCAGCCATGGCCGCGCCTCTACGATGAGTCCGTTGACCGCATTCTTGGAGACCATGCCTGCCGCGAGGACCGTGACGAAAGTCTGCATGGCATCCGCGGTCGCGATGACAAGGGGGTCTGATCTCCACCCGCTTGCTGAGAATTGTAATGCGAGGCCTACATGGGCCCCTGGTTTGAACCTTCCCGCAGCGTTGAGGAAGGACATCCGAAGCTGCTGGGCACGCCCGTTGGGGGCCCCTGCTATGCTGCATCCCCAGGGACTCTTGGATAGCACACCAGCACGATGGGCCGCCGATCTTTCAACCCCGAGGCCCTGCAAGGCCTGGATGCGGTCCCCCTTCTTCATGGCCTCCTGGATCCTTTTCAACTGGGTCCCAATTCTTCGAAAACGACCATCTACAGCATCCCCCCTAGGTCCCTATGGTATTGATCATACTTCAGGTGGGGGATGTTGACTGGCCAGAGGTCCAAGAGCTCCCCGCATACATCCGAGAACACCTCCTTGTCCCTGCAGAGAATCCCCATCTTGTCCCAAGAGATCGGGAGGCCCTTCTTCTGGAGGCCCACGAGGAGGTAGTTCAGGGCGTATTTCATTTCTCTGGTAACCGAAAGCCTGCCTCCGATGGCGTGGAGGCTTATGTCGTCGACGAGGTTCTTGATCCGCACCGTGGGACATCTGACTCCTCTGTGTCTCAGTGTCGTATAGTCATCAGTTTAGCCAGACCAGTAGCACAAGAGCATCCTGCTATTACTGTTCCCATTGGCTCGCAGTTCAGATGACGTCGTTCTCTGATATGTGGCCCTCCTTGGGCATCTGTACATGCATCGCAGTGGTTTTAACAACCTGATGGGCAAATCTGTGTCCCTAGCAGCACATAATAATTCAGCGTGGCTGATAAGTTCATGGAATTTCCTGAGGTCTACAAACGCACTCACACTGACAAAGTTATACACGGGGGCAACGCTCGCAAGCGCGTTGTGGATCCAGGCCGATTTGTCGCGCGACGTTTCGGACGAGGATCCCCGGGAGAAGCTGTCTCCGAGGGTGCCCTCCCATTTGGCCACTTCTGAGTGCCTCAGCCGAGACCAGATGCGACCGAAGAGAGGGAGGATGCCTACGGGGCGCGCTCCTCCTTGGGGCTTAGCAAGGAACACAATGATAGTTAGCAACATGTCAGTGTCCTCTGGGTTGTTTTTCCAGCGGTGCATAAGTGCAGAGAGGGACTCTAGCAGCTCGACAGGCAGATGCTCGATCCAACGCGGGTGGAAACAATCCCATCCCAGCGCTGGTTTCGCCCTGAAAGTCTGCAACACCGCCTTGACCCTGTGACTCTCCATCCTAGGGAGCGGCGGTGCATCCTCGACCGACCAGGTGAGCGGGTGAGCTCCACTTCCACGCTCAGGCACAACCCACAAGCTCTCCCATTCACCCAGCATGGCCTGGAGGGCCGCATGACCTACGACAGGTAGCCCGCTGGAGTCCTGATCAGACGGATCGGCTCCCCTGGGGGCCCTTAGAGAAAACGGTGCGCCAAACCCGCGCCATTCTGAAAAGCGAGCTCCGAAAATTTTCTCCAGCTGGCTCTGGCGGCGGCTGCATCTGCAGCCGTGTGCGCAAGCACTTGACCTTGAACAAATTTGCAAGCTTCACCCTTCTGCTCGTCGCTCGCAAGCAGTTGCAAAAAGGATTCGCAGTCGCTGATCCTGAAACCGACTTCTCCGACACCCGCCACGCCACCCGTGTCCCGCGCGTCCCCCAGCTCCCTAAGACGCCTCTCGGCACTGGCCTTCGACTCCTGTTGGGCAGAGACGGTGGTGTCTGAAGCGCGGAGCCATTGCATGGTTAAACGCCTTATGTTGAGCCACTTCTGAGTCGAGGGGGGGGGGGGGGGGGCCTTTCTGCAAAGGCTCTTGCCCCATTCACACGCAAGGGCAACTTTTTTACCAAACGGCAACCAAGCTCTCTTCCACAGTAACGCGGCCTGCCCGGAGCTGGGATGGCCAAAAACATGCGCATATAGAGCTCAGCAGACTGAAACCATCGGCGCGCCAGACTGTCCACCGACTCCCCCTCTTCCAGGTTAAAACCTGGCCAGCTCGAGACGTCTCCTGGAACAAAGGATTGCCCCGTCTGGGGCATAGGAAATGGGTCGGGCTTGACCCGTCTGTAAATGTAGTTCTGACCCCCCAGCCCACCCAGGACAAGTTTGACCGCCCTGTGGGGCCCAACTGGGGTGTCTTCCAGAACAGAAATGGACTGGACAAAAGAAAGCGGCACATCGCTGATCACGAAAAAATCGCACTGTGAGTTATGGCGCGTTGGCTTCCCACTGTGCACAACTTCTGCGTGCACCTGACTCAGGAAGCCTGTCTTCAAAAACGAGCCTCTGCCAACAAGTGCTGCATCAACATTCCAATCTCCTGCTATGCTGAAAGGCAGACAGGCTGCGCGCACCGCCTCAATCAACGATGCAATCAATTCGACATTGCCTGCCACACCTACACTGCAAATGGCGTAAATAGAGACCAGCAGCACCTGCATACCTCCCAGCATGACGCGCTGGAAGATGAGCCTGGATTTGTCAAACTCGTTGTTCGGGAGGTGCTCAATGCTGGCGATGTGACCTGATGTGAGAATGCCAACCCCACTGGATGTCTCCGTGATCCTCTTGCCCGTCACGGTGCGCCCGTTTGCCAGGAACTTGTAGCCGCGCTATCGCGCCCAGCTTTGTGCGGACATCAGCTGGACGCCGCTGCGCAGCCTGTGCTCCTGGCCAAAAACGAAGTCGGGCTGGTCTGCTCTGTCCAGCACCATCCATTCCAAAAAACCGTGCATCGTACTCCAGGCATTGCTGTTGTACGTGACCAAGGCCAGTGTGGTAGGTACAGGTATGGAACTTGACGGATGCTGATCCGCATCCCACTTGAGCTGCTGCACAAAGCCGCCGTGCGACTTGCCTCCACAACTGCCTACCGTAGTGTTTACCCATGACTTGTCGATTGGGTCGTCTTCGCCTTTGAACTCTGAAAGCCTGAGCTCCGAGTAATCAGGAACATCTAACCCTCCATATTTGATGACGAACTTCTTGCGGTACTTTGACTTGAATCTCTTGCCCCCTTGGTCTGCCACCTTCGCAGCAGAGGGGGCAATCAATGCAGGTAAAAACCTCCTGCTGCCAAGGAACTTGAACGTGCTCGAACAGTGCTTTCCTCGGCGGACGGCTCCACGTAATCTTTGACCAATTTGCGTAGATCCTCGATGTCCCCCCTGTCAGGCTCCCAGGGGCCTGGTTCACGCCGTGGAACTCTCGCTGGCTCAGCAAGTAACCCGACTCCACCTCCTGCCCTGAGGGCAGCCACCAGAGTTGGGGCGGCCTTCTTCGGGTCACTTATGCCTTCCATACTTGAGAGAACGTCCTCGAGCTTGACCTCATCGACGACCATCTCGACCGTGTCCGTGTCCCTCTGAATGAGGCCTGACAGCTCGATCTCCAGCTTCTCATATGCCTGTATATTCTCGGCGATGAGGGCATCAGCGTCTGCCAGTGCCTTCTGTGCTGAATCAAGAGCTGCTTGGGCCACAGCGCGATCTGCAATGGGCTTCTCCTTTTGCTTACGAGCCTGCTCCACTCTCCTCGACAGAACGCTGAGCTTCGCCCCCAGGGGCTTGTTCTCGTGAAGCTTGGCCCTTGCCACATCCAATTGACACTGAGCTGCGGCCAAAGCGGCCTTTGTCCACTCGCCTTTGATAGACTCCAACCACCAACCACTTGATATGTTTGGCCAGCGAATCGATCTCCTCGCGAAACTCGGCTGGCTCGTTGGTTGTGTCGGACTGCGGAGGGCCTCCGACCACGTCGCCTTTGAGGGTGGCATTTTCCTTCTCCAACATCTCGAGGCGGCGCACCAACTGGCTGAAAGCTCCCTTGTCTTTGCCTCCCGTGCTGAATGAAGGAGACTTGCTTGGGCGCACACACTTGAAGCTGGCTGACTTGTGGCACATGAAGCAACGATCATTGCTGCCCCAGTTGACCAGAGGAAGACCAGACTTTTTGTGTACACAGAACTTGCACATCCAGTCCAGCTTCGGCGAGTGCCACGGCGCCGGCGCCATGGCTGAGGATGGTTGGAGGCTCTCGATCCCTTTGCCTCAGGAGCGCTCTCCGCCGACAGGAGCCACTGCTCGCGCCCTGTGCAAGGGACCTCCGTGAAGGATGAAAGCTGCCGCGGACTAGCGGTATCCGTTTTGGCCCCAAGGGAACCTGGCATCTTGAGCCAAAATGGCTACGAAGGAGGAGGAGGAGGAGGAGGAAACAGAAGAGGATGAGGAGGGGGAGGAAGAGGAGGAGGAAGAGGAGGATGGAGGAGGAGGAGAGAGGAGAGGAACAGGAGGAACAGGAGGAGGGGGAGGAGGAGGAGGAAGAGGAGGAGGAGGGGAGGAGGAGGAGGAGGAGGCGGAGGAGGAGGAGGAGGAGGAGGATGTGAGGAGGAGGAGGAGGAGGATCAAGGAGTATGAGCAGAACAAGAGAGGAGCATGAGGAGGAAGGAAGAGGAGGTGGCTCAGGAGGAAGCGGGAGGCGGAGGGCGGCGGCGGAGGGCGGGGGAGAAGTTGGCGGAAGAGGAGAGATGAGGAGAGGACGGAGGAGGAGGAGGAGGTGAGGAGGAAAGGGTAGAGAAGGAGGAGGAGGAGGTAGGAGGGTGGAGAAGTTGGAGATTAGTAGGAGGAGGGGGAGGGGAGGATGAATTGAGGAGGGGGGTGAGGGGGGGGGGAGGGAGGGAAGAGGGGGGATGAGGATGATGGAAGCTAATTTATTATTAATTATGATGAAAGATGATGACGATGACGATGACGGTGATGATGATGATGATGATGATGCTGATGATGATGGTGGTGATGATGATGATGCTGATGATGCTGATGATGATGCTGATCGTGATGATGATAATGTTGTTGATGATGCTGATGATGCTGATGCTGATGATGAGGATGGTGATGATGATGCTGATTATCACGATGATGCTGATGGTGATGCTGATGATGATGATGATGCTGATGCTGATGATGGTGATGATGGTGATGATGATGCTGATGATGATGCTGCTGATGATGATGATGATGACTATGATGATGGTGACGATGGTGATGATGATGGATGATGATGATGATGATGCTGATGATGATGATGTTGATCCTGATGCTGATGTCGATGATGATGCTGATGAGGATGATGACGATGATGATGATGATGATGATGATGATGATGATGATGATGGTGATTAGGCTGATGCTGATGATGCTGATGCTGATGATGATGATGATGATGCTGATGCTGCTGATGAGGATGATGATGATGCTGCTGCTGATGGTGATGATGATGATGCTGATGCTGATGATGGTGATGATTTTGATGATGATGGTGCTGATGATGATGATGATGATGATTTTGCTGATGCTGATGATGCTGATGGTGATGATGATGATGATGATGGTGGTGATGATGATGATGATGATTATGATGAGGCTGATGATGATGCTGATGAGGATGATGATGGTGATGATGATGATGATGATGATGATGATGATGATGTTGGTGATGATGGGTGGATGATGTGATATGCTGATGACGATATTGATGATGAATCATGTATGATGATGATGATGATGATTGATGATGGATGATGATGATGATGATGATGATCATATGATTATGATGATGATGATGATGATGGATGTGATGATGGATGATGATGATGATGATGATGATGATGATGGGATGATGATGCTGATGATGATGATGATGATGATTGATGATGATGATGAGGAGGAGTAGGAGGAGGAGGAGGAGGAAGGAGGAGGAGGAGGAGGAGGAGCAGGAGCAGGAGCAGGAGGAGGAGGAGGAGGAGGAGGAGGAGGATAGTTAGCGGAGAGGGAGGAGGCCGTGGCGGAGGCGGAGGCGGAGGAGCAGGGGGAGGCTCTTTGCTTCGAGTGAGCGAGCTGTTGTTGCTACTGGTGCTGCCTCCGTGGAGCGAGACTCTCTCCTGCGTTTGTCGGTGCGAGCCGCCTGCGCACTGCCAAGCTGCTGTCCTACCATCTCCAACCAAGTGGATACGAGGGCGCTGGAGGGGCTGACCCACCCTGGCTTCGTGTGGGCACGGGCAGCGGTAGGGGGGATAGGCTCAGGGGGGTCATCGACCCCCAATCGCCCACCCATCGCCGATAGGGGCCCGATAGATTTACCCTGCCCAGGAACATGCGGATTCGCAATCGGCGGCGTATCGCCGATCCATCGGCGATGTATCGCCGATGCCAGGTCGATGTTTCCCCTCCTGCGCCCCTCATGTGGGCATGCTGACTTCTCCCCTCAAAGAGCCGATCGTGGGCGACAAACATCCGTATCCGCTGCCTTGCGGGCCGGGCCCCTGAGCCGCGACCCCGTGGACACGGGGCACTGTTTCTCGGGTGCCCCGCGCGGAGCGTATCTGTGCGACCGCGCATCCGCGGGACCGCGCCCCGGAATCCAGACCGCGTGGGCGCGTCGGAGCTTAAGATACGGGGATCGATGCAAACGGGGGTCAGCCAGGGCACCAGATCCTTCAGGTTCCTGCGAAGATCCCCTCTGGCTGACCCGGTTAGCCAGCCGCTCGCGGCCGCGAGGCGGCCGCGCCTGTTGGCTGACCTGGGTTTGCGAAGCCCTATGTAGCAGATCCCCGAGCGCGGACACCCGCATGTTCGCCAGCCGTAGGCACGGGCCTTCAGTTTCGGAGGTGCGCGCGGGTCTCCTGGGGCGGCGCTGGGCCCCATGTCGCGCTCCGCGCGTCGGGGCAGGGATGCGGGCAGTCGGAGGCCCAGGGGGTTCGGGATCAGCACAGACATCGGCGGTTGCCTCCACCGCGGGAAGCCGGTCCCGATCTCGGTGATGGTGTCAGTACTGGGGCGTTTCAGGCGGCCGGAAGACTGCAGTGGAAACCCATGCCAACCAATTCCGTGCTTGCCTCCAGGGTGCCCTGGGTTTCTTGGGTTTCAGAGGTTTTGCTATGGAGTCTCAGGTTGGGTTTTTTGTGGAAGGGTTCTGGTGGTCGAGCTCCTTCTGTACCGCCAGCACTCGGATCTCCGATCATCTCTTCTGGGTGAGGCACCCCCCGTGTTGATGTTGGGGCCTGTCTGCAGGCCTCCAGGGGAGGAGGGCCCAGGACCGAAGCGAGAAGTCGTTTCCGTGCTCCTTCGCCCGTGCCGCCGTTTTTTGTCTGCCGCTGTTGCGCCTTGGCGTCCGCCTTGGCGCCTGCCGACCAAGCTCCGCCTCCCGCTGCGGCGCGGGCCCTCTCCTCGCCGGCGGTGGGGCGATCCTCAAGAGGAGGAGGAGGAGGAGGACGAGGAGGACGAGGAGGAGGAGGAGGAGGAGGAGGGGGAGGAGGAGGAGG